GATGCATAAGAAAGGCGTAAAATATCCAAAGTGACGACGATATCGCGACATATACGAAATAATACGTGTTTATTTTCGAGATAAAAAAAAAAAAAAAAAAAAAAAAAAAGAAAAGGAAAAAGGAAATATTGCCAACCGTTAAGGAACCCTTCGATCTTCGATTCGAGACACGAAATAGACTGGAGGAGATGGTGGTCCAACGGGGACCGGAAGAGGGTGTTCCCTTTGAAGCGATCCCCCGTCAGGATTTGCTCGAGAGCGGGCAATGAGCGAAGAGAAAAGGAGAAAAAGGGAGGAAAAGGTGGAAGAAGGGAAGGCAGAACCGAATCTCTATTTTCGCAGGCTCGCGCGGCCGCCTTTGAATAGACGCGATAAGGATCTTATAACCGTGCAGGGGGAGAAGAGGCTGGATGGATGGCGGGGGTGTTGTGAAATATAAAGTAAACTACCTGACATTGTCGCGATACGAAGAGGCGCATCGCCGCTTGAATATTGATGCACTGGCTTCCGAAGGGAAGATGAAAGGGGAGGCACTGCGCCTTCGCTTCGGCTTTTTAATAATGAATTCGGCCCTTCTGCCTCGCGGATTTTCTCCCGCCCGTTCCAACGCCCTCCCCCCGCCTCCCTTATTTCCTTTGAACGCGTGCGGCGGCGAAGAAAGGATTGGTTTATATTCTCGCGTTCGCGGTCGAACCGATATATTTCCAGGGAACGACTTTTTATATCGAGGTGGAAAGAATTTTGAAAATTTTCTCGAAAGTCGAATTGTGAAGGAAGACTATTTAGAGAGAGAGAGAGAAGAAAAAAAAGAGAGACGCCTAATGCTTTCCTAAAAACGACGTAATCGCGTCAAAGGCTTAAAAGACTGACCCTAGAATCGCACACTTCAACCCTAGAACTGACTGATGGGCTTCGCTGTTCCACTAACGTGATTTCATGTCGTCGACCTGACAATACCGGCAACTGACGGTCTTCCAGACTGATGACTACCTTGTGCTAATGATTTAATGGGGACGAGCATTTTTCGTTAATACTCGGTGAAGATTTTACGATTGCAAGATTGCAGATTCGATAATTCGATAGAAATACTCGATATTTGATTAATACGTAACGATATTTTGCCGCCAAAATAATATTAGCTGCGATTTTGGATCATTTCGTACCTCGAGCGACATCTGTCGATGAACGCTGCAACTTTTTGGTAAGAGGTAAACGGATGGCAAGAGAACAACAAGTTTCTCGGTTCTAATCTCGACTAATTTCACTTCGCACTCATATTCATCGTAATATCATTTCACGTTCACTCACAAACTTCCATAATACGTGTACCGAATCGAAAAAATTTGAAACATCAACCAAATCAATTTCCTATTCGAAACAATTTCGTTAAAAATCCGATTCTCGCAATTTTTCGAATAAAATTCATAAATTTATTCATCTCGAATGACATTCCTTTTTAAAATCGATATTTCTTTTCGCTTGAGAAAAGAAAATGTAAAGTTTAACGAAAAACAGGTACGACGTATCTGTGACTAATTTACGTATCGAATACTCGAAGGGTGCCGGAAGTGGCAAGATTGCGACATCGACTTCTTCGACCGAAAGATATTTCCCGCGGTCTATTGCACGCTCTGTTAGTCATGTAGGTTCGTTCGTTGCGACTAATTTCGTTATGTAATAACGAGTCTACGTGTTCGAAACGATAATTCTTCGCGAGGGTGTCTCCCACCGACTCTCCTCTTTCACCGATAAAATTGAAAGTGGTCGAACCAACAACTTCTTCCCTGATCGATTAATCACGCGATATGTAATATTTTTGCAAAAGAAAGTTCGATCGTTCGTTTTTACGGAAAATCGGCCGATACGATACGATATAATATAAATCAATTATCACACGAATAAATATATCCATAATAATCCATCGTTTCTTACGCAATATTACGTATTCTATTTTTCCTTTTTATTTCCACGCGATTATTTCTTTCTTATGAAAGAAAAACGGTAAAATCATCGCAAAAACTAGAATACTGTGGCGGAATAAACAATGAGCGATACCATCGTGCTACGTCGATACTACGTTGAAACAGGAACGAAACAGCAGACTTTATGCCCCCGTAGTTTTGCGAGCCAGACGGAACGAGTCTAAACTCTAAACGTAATTTCGAGCGGTAAACCGCGGCGTAATGTTCGCCGAACGAACGGCGAATAATCCGATCAGGGAAGTTTTAGCCTGGGCCAAACAGCCTGGTTTACTTATTCGCCGATAAATTCGTTGGAACGAAGAAACGCGAAGGCGAAACGCGAAGGCGATAATCGATCGGCCGGTCGTTTGCTCGGCCAACTGGAAGACGGCGATACCGATTGTCGAACGAAGAGTAAAAGTAGCTCCGCGGTGACATAACACGGAGGAAAGTCTAGGCCGTCCTCCGTTTCGTCTGTTTGAATGGCTGTTGCGCGGAACGATGTGGGTTTACAGTCGAGACACGAAGCGACCTGTGATTGGCAATTGTTCTTGCTTTCCCTCGTCGCTCTTCTCTTATTAACCGCCCCTTTTCTCCTCCGTGCACCTATTGCTAACGTAATTACTTCGAGTTACCACCACTTTCGCGTAATTGTATCGATCCTGTTTCCGGTTTCTTCTGTGTAGAAATATACACTTTCGTTCGAATGTATACTGCGATTGCCTCCGCGTCGATCATCACGTGTATACGCGCTTACGATTGTGTGATGTAAGAATGGAGAGGAAATGGGGGAGTTACGGGATCGTTGGAAAATTCGTCACGCGAGAATTGGCCGATAGAAATGAAAAAGGAAAAAAAAAAGATGGAAGAGTCGATATTTCTTCTTGCTTTCACTTAATACACTTAATAACCAACGAAATTTGAAACGAATCGAAACTGATTCCGTTAGATAAAATATCCGCGCTCCGTGAACCGTGAATCTGCTACGATCTCGAAATCTAAAATTATTTATTACACCTCTCCCAATATTTTCAAGGGAGTCAAAATTGCTATCTTTTCTCGAATCCGACGTCTGATCGATAAGTAGAAACGAGCGACGTTGGTCAGACAGACGGGATCGAATCGATCTCGAGAAAGGAAGAGAGAAATTCGTAATTAAGATCGCGACGCGTCTAAGCAAGCGTGACGAAGCGTTGGCAAATCTTAATGATCTAATGGACGCTTCGTTAATCATTCACGAGGGAAAAAGAGGGAGAAAGGGGGAGATTAACCGCGCTGAGTCAGCCATTAGCTTCCTGGGAGGCGTGCGGAACGTCCTCGATTCCGGTCCCCGCGGGATGGAACGACGCATTAACGTTTCTCCGCACGCTTTCGAATATCCCTAAGCTAAGCCGTCTAATTCTTGATTCGTTGCTCGCCAAGTGGACCAGGGATTCTCGACGCTGCTCGTCGAGAATCAATCTCGTTTTACGATTCCGTCGAGCGGGTGTCGTCCGATGATCGCTGTGTCTTCCGACCATTTCCATTAAATCAACCGTGAGGGAACGTTCAAATTTCGCGCGCTGCTATTTTTCTTCACAAGCTTTACGTAACAAGCTTCTCGCTATCTCGATTTCTCGATATCTTCCGTATCATCTCGTGTAAAGACGATAATTACAGTATATCGTTTCCTTATTCCTTTTTTTCTTTTTTTTTTTTTTTTTTTTTTTTTTGTAACTTCGTTAACCCATCAACTTTCGATTCCATTCGGCCCACGAATAGCAGGCGCGCAGAGATCGCGCGAGATTCCGTGGATTAATTTGCCCCACATGTTTCCATCCATCGTTGCGTCGAGTTACTGTTGCACGTAATTACGCTAACGAGATCGTCTTTGCGAATGGAACTCGATCATCAAAGGGTAATTACTCGCGAGTGGAGGAGGGGGTTCAACGCGCCTCGTTATCGTTAGACGAGGTTTCACTTCCAATTCCAGGAGGGAGGGAGTTAGAGATCGGTGAAATTTCGCAACTATCGATCGTTCCCCTTCTCTCTCCTCTGACAGTGGCTCGTAATAATTTCTTTTCCCTTGATTTGCATACGTATATAATCAGGGACACGGTTCACAATTTTATCGCGTGGCCTGTCAAACAGGTTTTCATAAAATCAAATTGTTATCGTTGCTTATCTATTTTTTTCCTTTTTTAAACCAACTGTCATTTTCCATTCTCTATTCGGATATATTTTGCAAATATATCGACGAATGCTATCGTCGATTAAAAAGAAAGAAAAATATTGAACGCAAATACAAATAACACGTCACCTTGCATCTGAACAATAACCCGCAACAAATTCTCACTTTTATATCCCATTTTATTATATCCCAGGGTGTGTTCTCGATTCGACTAAAAAAAAAAAAAAGTAAATTTTATTACATCATGAATATTTACAAGCTGGTATAGGTATTTGGTGGCGATCAACCGTGACTCGAACCGGATCGTTCAGTGATCGATGAACGGAGATGCAGGTCGATCTCCGCCACCAATTTTCGTTCCGCCCATGCGCCGTCGCCGCGTGCGTTTCGATTTCAAGTGCAGCCTCCGACTAAGCCGCGCTGGTCGTCAGGAGTCGGCCGCCGATCGATCGTGACGTAACGTAACGTAACGCGAACGGGGCAGGCATGCGTGCAACAGCGCGCGCGCTTGAGAAATCACGTCGAATCATGGAAACACCTCTCGATCGCGTATCAAGATTGATAGGATAGGTTGGAGGGAAGGTTACCTAGGGTTAGTTGTATCTACAACTGGTTAATTTCACGCGTCTTTCAAGTGGGCCACGATCGAACGCGGTTGCGATGCTCTCTCCAATGCGATTTCTAATCCGACGTTTCGTTTATGCGCGGAAAATTGTGAGGATAATTTGCAATCTGATCTGGTGGATTGTGAATGTTGAAGCGTAAAATACGTTTCTTAATAGGCCTTTCGACCGATGGTTTTATAAGTTAAATGTAGTTTAGTCAAATCTATCTTATTAGATGTGTTTCTTCTTCTTTTTTTTTTTTTTTTTTTATTTAAAGTGTAACGATGGTTGTCGATCGAGAGGTTCCATCGAGGTGAGGCGGTATATCGAGACACTAGTCGTAGAAAACATTAACAATGTATTAACTCGATACAATGATTCTTTATACAAATATAAGGATGCTCCTGGTGGTGTTGTATCCAGAGACACTGTGGAGATACGTATGATACAAGGACGGATGCAGAGTTCGTGGTTCCTAGACAGTTCCTCTCCTTGAGTTTCCCATATTCTCGAGAACTCTCTCACCGTACAGTTTCCCCATCGATGACGCGGCACTCGCAACCTTCTCAATATCCCGTTAATCCTTCGTTCACGGTTAATAGTAAAAGAACCTATAGAAAGCTGGAACAAAATGTAAGGAAACATTTATGATCGATCAAATCGTTCGAAATTCTCTCCCCAAATTTAATTCAACTCGTCGAGGAACGCATTCTCTCGAAAATAAAATTCTCTTCAAATTTCTTGAGGGAGGCGGCGTTAAATTTCACCCTCAACGCGTTCGCGCGAAAGCAAACGACCCTCGACCCTGTCAAACTTTCGCGGACACAAGGAAACAGGATCTCGAAACGTTCCAAAGTTCCTTCTCCATCCTTTCCCCTCATCGTGGTCGAGCATCGCCCCTTCGATCCTTCTTCGTCGGAGAGGAGACGCGAGAGGCACGAGATCACGCGCGATAATTCGCCAAGAATCGCGCGGCAAAGCTCCTCGAGTAATCGCCGGGACACCTGACCGTCGGTAATGAGAAGTCAGGCACGGGACCGCTTCAAAGCTCGCTAATTACAGGACCCTCGTCACCCGGCCACCCTTCCACCTCATCTCCACCACGTCCGATATCCTCTCTCCCTTTGACTGTGTTAAGTGCTCGCTTTTCTGCCCGTTGCCTCCGACCACGGCGCTGACAATAAAGTTAACCAACGGGGAGAAGGCAATGGGATCCATTAGGCAGTCCAAGGGACGCCTAGCTGTGCGTAAATTCAACCCTTCCCCTCGCGACAGAATTGGAGAGAGCGTATCGAGGAGAAGGTTTTTGAACCATGTTTACTCTTTTATTTTTTCCCCGATTTCTATCGATTTTCCAACCGTTCCCGATTTTACCGACCGAAAATAACATTGATATTAACGTCGAATTGGATCTTAACGATATATCGAGGACGCAACGAGGATAGAAGAATATACAACCGAAGGTGAAATCGGAGAAGTGCGTGGTTCAAGTTTAACGATCGCTCTACTACTAGTTAGAAACACGTGCGGCTAAGTGTCTTATTTCCTTTCCCTTCCCCGGACCAACACCATCAATTGTCGATCATAGACATTCAGAGACGATCACCGCCTTTCACTGGCACCCGCTCGTTCGCGAGAACTGTATCATTAACACCTAAATCGTTCCTCCACGGAACGCTATCGAGGAGGATTTGTCCCCGATTTCTACCCCGTAATTACGCCCCTTTCCTCGCAATTATTCCGCAAGCGGGGAGGAGGGAGAGCTCGATAACGCGCAGACAACGCGTCGAAACGGCCATCCTCGCATTCGTTGAACGAGCGTCGTTGGCAAGAAAAACGGGTCTGATCCTCGCCTCCTGCGTTTCTCGCCGCGAGTTAATCTCGCGAGGAACTTTTTAACGCGTTTCCCGTTGCCCTTAGACGCGGCAGAACGTTAATCACCGCCAGTTTCGCAGATTTATCCGCTCCATCGCGATCGTTTACAGGCATTAATGAACAAAAGATATACCGTGGCCATAACCGCTAGACAGTCCGTTGCGCTGAAGATTTATTTCTCCATCGAGTTCGAACGTTCTATCCGCTTATCTTGAACCATTGTGAACAATGTTCCGTTCTATTGTCTGGATAGATTGGAAGGCACGGGACAATCCGATTGAACGTTTATGGAATATTATTTCTCTGAATCTTCTATGATTCTTGCAAACCGGTTGTTACAAAGGCATATTTTTTTTTTTTTTTTTTTTTCAATAAACTTTCATCGATCCTTTTGTCGATCCTTTTGTCGAGGTACACGCGCGCGAATATGCTCGTTTTATATACGTGGAGCGAAATGTGAACGGTTTTATCTTTTTACTATAATCGTTTCGTAATAAAAATCGATATTAAAATCAACGACTAGAAGCTCTGGTACAAATGTTAACCAGGATTTCTCTAAATTTTTAGAGATTTGAGAGTAGCAGAAAAAACTTTTTAGGGAAAAAGTTTTTTTCCTCTTTCCAATATTACTCTCAAATGTGACGTTAGACTTTAAAAATTTAGAGTCTTGTCTGACAGTTCTGATGACGACTGTAATCGATATTCTTGTCCAGAGGCCATGACATGGATGCCGATTAAAGGTTAGGAACGAAAGAATTAAAAAAAAAAGAAGCAAGTATTTGCAATAATAATTAAATTCCAGGCAGAGGAAAGGTGTGGAAGTTCCTCGAGCGACCTCATTTAACTATTCGATTAAGTGTTATTACTCATAATGACAGCGTATGCAACGATTCGTGGAACTCTTTGCGCACGGATCGAACTTTCGTCTCAATTGGGCCGCGTGTTTGTGAAATTACGCCCGTTAAAAATTCACGATCGTTCGAATAACGGCTCGTTGCACGAAATCATATTACGAGGGTCTCGTTAAAAGAACGATACGCGGCAACGAATTACGAGTCAGTTTTATTTGCAACGGTGATCCGCGATAAAGAAGTAGCGACGAGTCTCTAACGATGCCTAATTGCGCTTGTTAACGATTATAAATCTCGTAATTGCCTTCGTTACGCGATTGGCTAGTAATGTTTTCAGGGTTACGCTCGACTATTGAAAATGTAAATTGAATTTCGTGGAACGAAATTATTCCTCCTCTTGATTATATTCAAAACTTTTGATTTTCTTTTTTTTTTTCTAGATCATTTTTTTTATTATTTCTATCGTATCTAGAGAAACAACATCATCTTCGAAATTTATCTCGAACCATTATCGATCTTACTCTGAAAGATTTTCTTAATTTTCTTTTTTTTTTTTTTCGTCAAGATCCATCTTCAAGATCCACGAATGACTGTCAATTTTACTACATAAAGAGAAAATCATTATTTTCTCGACGTGTAACGAAATATTATAATATTTCCTTTCGATTAGAAAATATGATACGTTAAATAGCGGTTCCATAAAGAAGAATTTTTTATCTTAAAGAGAAAAAAAAGAAAAAAAAAGAAGCCTAAAACCACGAACTTGACCATGAACGGATCATTGATCCCAGCGGCAGAGATACATCAGATTTTCGTGTCGCCAAAAAGGACGATATTGTCCAACTGACCTCATAACACCTGTTACGCTTCGCGAAGTAGCTCAGCCGAGGTTACGTGTAAACGAGTTTAAGTCACGAGGCCAACGAAATCACTTTCACTGACCCCCGTCTCTCTAAGTGGATCCCAAGGTTGCCTCTTCTTCGGAAGAAACCGGTATTCCTCTTCCTCTCTCTTTTCCTCTTCCTCTCTATCGAACGACGAGGAATGCCGCCATTGAATTCGAATAATGAAAGACGAGGGAGAATTTTTATTCCTAACTTTTGCTGCGAGGCAGAGAGGAAGAGAAAGCTCTCGATGCCTCCATTTACACGTGGATTACTCCGCCATGTGATTTATGCGAGGATCGAATAGATTTTTCACGAAAATATCACGCTGTCAGCTTTCAAGGTTGGAGGATTTCACAAGGGTGGTTACTTGTTTGTTTTCCAGATTTTTCGATTCTCGAAAGGGAAAGTTGCCCTTCTCTTTTCCAAAATAAAATAAAAAATGGTGGTAAGTTAAATGGTTTAACTTTGTGCATTTCTATACCTTTTGCGTGGAATCGTGTTAGTGGAATTGGTTAAGACACATTCGTGAATTGTGATAATTAGCCACTATAGATAACACGAATCGTATTAGTGTGAAACTACGTAAAATTAGTCTTGGAAGAGGTGTCCATTTTTATATTTACAAATTTCGTACGAGTCGGGAGAATAGAATCGAAGGTTGCATTGCATCTTCCGTGTCGTTGCGTGATATTTCACGTTTGATAGAAATCAAGGAGAAGGATCGTCGCTTTTGAGGAGTTCAGGATCACGATTTAAATGGAATGGCCTTTCACAAAAGCCATCGAATCGTATCGTCCGTTTAATTCTTTAATTTCAGGATCGTCGTTCAAAATGATCTACGTCGTTAAAAAAAGTCTATAGTTTCAAAATGAAACTGGAACGTACGTCTCGTTACTTGTGTTACTTGGAGGAATAATTTTTCGAATGAGCTGTGAATATTATTTTCAAATGATTATGGGTTACGAATCGTTATATAAATACAGCGAATAAATTTCAATGAATCGACACAATCGCTAATTACAGAATATCTTCCATGGATTTTTTTTTAGTCACGATGATTCCTCGCAATTTAACCATTAAATCATTACTCAGGTAGAAATAATCAAGAAGCTGTAAATTTGATCTCTTTGATGTAAGAATGGTCGAAGGATGGCGTTCAAATTTTCGTCCCTCGAGGTATGGTAAGTGAAGGAAGTCATGCAGATTAAAAACGTTGGAGTGAAGAGAGGGAGGGGGTTGGGCGATTCGACGTATCTGGCAACAAATAAATAGCGATTTATTCACAAGTTAAGTGCACAAGGGGCGACGACAAGTGCTCGGGAGTTAGTGTCATCCCCAAAGTGTTACTGCTCGCCGTGTTGTTGAGTCTTTGGTGGAGGCGTGAATTTTAGGAGCAGATATTTTGCGCCATCTTCCGCTTCTCCGCGCCACGGGTTCAAGCATTTCCCATTTCTCCTCAGAATCCTAAGGACGATTTACCTTGGTTGGGCGGCACGAATCCGTATCCGCTCGCGCCTACTATCACTCCGCTGGTGTCCTCGTTATTCGGCGGAGGGCCAGGAGGAAACAGTACCGGACCTGGAACGAAAATCGTCCTTGTCAGAAATATGAAAGAAATTTTAAGAAGAAAGAAATCGTGGAAGAGGAAGATGTCTCCGCGAGGGAGGAAAATTTTAATGTCATCCTTCGATCATTCTTCGATCAAATTTACATCTTCTCGATTATTTCTACTTCAGAAGTAATTCACTTTTGGCGGTACCGGTTCGTATTAAACAAGATCTAAGGCACGAAGCCTTAAGCGTCATTCGTCAATCTGACGGTTACGCCCCTTTTCTCGATTTCATTTCAATCAGAAACGACGTCTCGACTCCATTCTCCATTCCCGTGCAACGTTTATGAAAAATCATAAACACGGTTTAAACGAGCTCGTTAAACTGAGGCCGTAGCTTGCGATTATTCAACATCGTGCCCTAGAAAGACCATGCTTCAATGAAATTACACTACCGTACGTTCCTGACATCCCCGATGATCTCTATAATCGCTGTTACACGGCGATCTTATCAAAAGTACACGAGTCGTTTTGAAATTACGAAATTTTTCGCGTAATTTATAATCCACTCTTCACGGTCGTTGCTTGCGGTCGAAATCGAAAGATCGCCGATCTGATCTTTTAAAACGATCTTTTAATTTTTCTTATACGATGCAATGGAATCTCTAGCGTCCAAAGATTTAGATTATCTAAATATTCAACTTATTAAATCATTTTAGTGTTATTTTGAATTCGAATACTTTGAACAAGAAGCCGATAAAAATGATGAAAATATGTTTTCTCGATACTTTGAGAAACAAAAAGAATATAATTCGATGTGTATGTGTAACAAAGAAGTTATGAGATCCATAAATAATTAAATAATAATATTTCATTTATATTTTATTAACATAATAATGACGAAAAATGGAAGAAAATTGTTTGTTCTATCATTCGAAAATTCCTTTAAGAAGAATTCCATCGTATTGTCATTTCGTTTCTTCGATACATGTTTGGTCTAGTTTCGATCGATCGTTCGATCACGATCGTGAACACAAATATTCATAATCTTTCGCAATGTTTCTGTGCATCTTCTATGACCTTTTTGGAACGAAAGAATTTAAATTATAATGCCGATTGTATAAGGCAGCCGCATATAAAGAGAGAATCCACATAATCGATCCTCCCTGTGCAATTCTACAGAGTGTTAATTTTATAAGCACCTCGTTATAAACAAGTTTTCAAGGAGATCCAGTGTAATCTATCTGAATCGGGAAGTGATTTGCAATCCGAACGACTATTAATCGATGCCACTGTGGAAATAGTGGTTTCCACTAATGCGTGCGAGGTGCAAATCTCACGCAACAAACTCGATCCTTATCGCATCGCTGCAAACTGTTACGAAACTATGAACCTCGTGGCTTGAACACTTGAACACAATTGTTCCGGTTAATTAAGAAATGCGAACGACCTGATTGAAGTTATCATTAGACTTTCAATTTATTGCTAGATCATTATCAGCTTATCACGAAAACACTTCCCTTTTACGCTCCACGAATTAAGATTATTTAATATAGTTGGATTATTCCAAAAGAAATTTTCCTCCTCCTTTTTTTATATCCAGAATGATCGCCGAAATATATTATTTATATATATATATATTGATATTTTTACAAAATTTTATATATCATATCTAGAGTCGAAGTTTCATTTACTTCTTCCATTATTCTTCTTCTTTAACTTCAAATTTATATTATCGTTTTATCATTTAAGAAATTGATTTTTTTTTATCTAGTCGATTCTTCTCGTTAATTTATTCAACGTGCAATTGTAAAAGAACATATTTATTAATTTTCAATATCGTTGGATTTTTCAAAAAAAAGAAGACGTACGGAAATCATCGAAAGAAACTTTAGAAGAATTTGATGTTACTACGGTTGGAGATGGAGAATGGCGTAAAAAGGTATTTCACTCGAGGAAAAATTATTATCTAACACACGTTGACAAGAAATTGACCAGTCGGAGCACAAGTTGGCGGTATGTCAGCAACATTTTCCTGCCTCTATTTATTGTAGGTGAGTTTGAACTTGACACTCATTCCGTGCGTAAAACGCGCCGCCGCGTTCCACTCGATCGCAAGGATCGCGTATCCTGGTTACGGCGTGTGTCGAATTATACACGTGCAGACAAATGTCAAAGCTTCAACGTTAGAATGGGATACCTCATTAGGGCAACAAATAGCGCCTGTCGTCTCGTCCATTAATCTTCGATTTCGAACTCGAAGTGATGTGAAATTTCTAAAATTAATTGCACGAGTTTAAAATATTACACGTGTTGATTTAAAATTCCTTTGCGTTTATCTATTAATTTATTATCAAAAAATTTTAATTTTCTTTTTTTTTTTGATTTAATACCGAATAAATTTGCATAATTTTATCATTGATATATTAATAAAAATCGATGCGGAATTTATACGATCATTTCTCCTTTTTATTTTGAAAAATTGCACAACTTTGCTAAAATAAATGCGAAATATCAATTGAACAAGTTTAAATTAAAATAATAAATACGCGATTTAAAATTCATTTTACATCTATCCATCGATTTATTATTAAATAAAATTTTATATTTTTTAATATAGATAATTATTAGAAATAGAAATCGACCGAGCAATCGTTGCAAATTCATTCAGAATTCGTACGATCACTTTCCTTTTCCTCGACGCACGAATTACGTTAATCACGTACTATCGGTAGTTTAAACGTTCTCTATATACAGATATAAATATATATAATCGTTCGATATCTATGAAATTATCGTTATTAGTTCCCCCTTCCGGCATCGATCGTAATTTCTGGCTTCGAACGAGAATCCGAGAATAATCTCATTTAGTAGGAGCGTCACGGTTCGTCAACAACTCGAGCGGAAATGGAATTAACCGCCAATTATTCGCGAATCCATATCTCACTCTCGAAGATTATTTCCGACAGGGTTTTAGGGGTCGAGGACTGGGATCGTTGGGACGCAGTGTTGGTCGAATCCCAAGTTTATCGGGAATTGGTTCGAAGGATTTCAAGGATTTCGTGGGTTAAAAGGATTAGCATATTCACCTCTATTCGATCGTGGATCTCGCATTGCTACTGCTTGCCTGATATAAGGTCCGAATCCTGCGAACAGTTGACTGTAGTCCTGGGACGAGACCGCTGCCAGAACTGTGAAAACCAGTAGAATCAGAATTGTCTGAAATGGAAAGATTAATCTAATCTTTAGTGTAATACGTATGATTCTTTTTTATCTTATAGAAAAAATAATAATAATAATAAAGATAATTATCCTTTCCTGATTTTTATTTATAAATTCGAAAAAATCAACGCAGCTTTCCTAGTAAGATCAAAATATCTTATTAACGAATATTTCGTTATTTACGTTCAAATTTTTGCATCACAAATACGGTTGTCAAGATGAAATAAATTATCGATCCTGTCAATCGAGATATTATAATTTCCCTTCAAACGTCCGAATTACGCGTTCCCTTATTGAATCTATCAACGATTTATTAGATACTTTCACCGTTTCCCAATCTCCGTGCAAAAACTTTCAAAAAAATGTATAAACATAAATGAAAAATAGCAATCCTCGAGCCTTTCAATTAAATTTTAATCGAGCCTCCTGAGACAATCGTGACGATTCCACTTTTAACTTCTGCGAAACCGGAAACGGCCCCATTAAATTCCGTTACGTACAACGATAAATGGGAATCGAAAGCTTCGTTAGACGTTCGTTCTGAAAACACTTTTAACCTCGATCCAATGATTGACGACCGATTCGAGATTTTCTCCAACCCATGCGACAATTTTTACGAGCCTCTATCAGTTAACAATGCGATATAATTTATGGGCCGAATATACTCGTCGAATAAAATCACCACTCTCTGCTTTCATATCCGTTTCAGAAGTCGTTCAGATCTCTCCTCAAACGTTCCCGTTTCTTGCCTCCATTTCCTTAAACATTCGCCATTATTAAGCAAGAATCTCTGAGGCCCAAGTGTTACTTGATAAATTAACCACGATGAATTATGGAGAACGTTAAATCGCAACACGGAGTCACTTTACCACGCGCCGTCGTCCCATTCGACTCTGATAAATTGCAGTCGTTCGATTTTTAATCGATCCTCCTGCTGTTTGTTTGTTCGAGGATATTTTCTCTGTTTCTCTTGCGTCGTTCGTGTTTATGGAATTTCGAATGGGAAAGGATTCCAGAAATAGATTGCATTCGAGATTTGATTTCACGGATCAAAGGTCAGAATTTATTTAAAATTTAACGATTAATAACTAAAAAAAGTTGATGCTCATCGTCGAGCTCAACAGACATTTTTCTTACACGAATTAAAAGATAATTTCACGTTGAAAGAACGAACGATCCGCACGTTCGTCACGAACAATTTACATTGAAAAATCTAAAGATAAAGAACGAATTGTAAGGATTTATTAAACGTCATAAATGTCAAAAGTTCTTAGGAAATAAAGAATTCGATTGCGTCTCGAATCGAAAACGTGGACAAAGTAACATTTCCCGTTACTTTTTCACCTCGGTAGAAAAGCAACTCGTTAATTGCTCGCTTGTGCCGAAGTTTCGACAGAACATTGCGACAGATACCCCGATCTGTTTCCGCAAAAAGCGATAAATATTCCCAAGTCGTTATCAGCTCACGAGACATCGCGTGCTCGAAGGAAAACGTTTAAAAAGGGAACAGAGTGCAGTGTCGTAAACGTGTCGTAAACTCCAACGAACGAAAAATCCGATTTCGTATCTTGAGTTCCACGCGGGGAAACGATTCGAGGCGAGCGAAGAAAAGCCGGCGATTTATATCTTCTGACAACCGATCATCTCTTTTCGCCCGTTGCGATTCTTACGTAAAATCTGACGAAATCGTTGCTATGCACGGTCACCTCATCCGAGCTTGGGAACACGTTTGATTGGATAATCGCGTTTGAATAATCGCGCGAAACGATTGAACGAGCGGTTACATTGTTGCACACATATTATATCGGTTTTCTGTATCGAAAGCAAGGTGAGCAACGCGCGACACGTCATCGCTTCGCGATTTCTTTCTTCGCGCTTGTCGCAATGTCAAGGCGATTAATTGCTGCCCTATTACATACGACTGATAATTGCGTAGATATATAGCTAGAATATAGCGAAGGAGTGAAGAATTTTATGCGATATATCAAGAATTCAACGATGAACCAACGATTGACTTATTAAGGTAATTGTTCACTTTATTGTTCATTCGAGATGGATAAATAAAGTATTTTCGTATCCATCTTTAAAATTCATAAACTATCGACTCGTTATTATAAAGTTCCGTTGAATATACGTGAGAGAAAGAAGTCGATTCCAGATCGATATCTGATATCTTTAAAATTCATAAGCTATTTAAAACGTTGACTAGATCCACGTGTCTGGATCTAGAATGTTACGTTGATTTTCCAACGAGATATACGCGTCTCTATGACGATATCCCATTACGCCACACCGGGGTTTACTTGTCACAACTTTGAACGGGATTGATCGAAACGGAGAGAGGGAAAGACAGATTAATGATAGAGTATCGCAGGCACCAGAGATCGACCCTTGATCGACATTGGTTCTAATTAAAGATCTACTGCCTGGACGAATAAATTCGCGTAATTACCGTAACGAAACTGACTATCGAGAAATGTTTTTCGTTTCTCGCGACCCTACACCTATTTTCCTTGCAAAAAAATGCAAATATACGATATAAAGGATATATCTATCCGCGATGAGAATTCGTGACAAGAAGGATTTAAGCGCAACTCGTGTAATTGCGTGTAATAAACAATTCTCGATCGTAATAATTAAAATAGCTTCATCGTGGAACGGGGCACGCAACAACTCGATATAATTTATTATAATATAATTTACACGAGAGATTAACTTTTTTAACATGGAACGTTGAACTTTTGAATTTTTCAACCGGAGAAGCGTAACAATCTCGGAGGAAATCATTTCCAGTTTCCTTGAAACTGAACTAGACTCGAAACCGGAAAAGCAAGGTCGAGGTGGCGAATGCAACATCGATTATCAACGCAGATCAAGTAACTCGAGTTGAGACGATTTTTGCGCATAAAGTTAGACCAACGTCGAAATAAATGCTCGATTAAATTTGTCCTCGAAAGGTGGTTTGACAAGCGGCATTGAAAAAAGAGAACGAGATTCGAAACAATTCTGTCTGAGGAGCGACGCGCTCGTTGCAGACGCACGAGGTCGCCCACAAACCACGGCACACATGTGCGTGCACCGTGACGATGGATATCAACGCCGCGGTGATATCTGAACCAACGCGCGTCGATGATCACGAGGAGAACCGCGCACAAACACGCGGCTAATAAATGTCTGGTTGCGAAATAATCGTGAGCATATTGCATATTTGTCGGGGTGAAGCGGCGCACGAAATGTGGAAGGAAAGTAGAAACCGGAGAACGCGCGGTTCTCCACACGTGGATTAATAATCAACACCTAATAAATCGAGCCGAGCAACGAATATCTCAAACACTGTTATGTAATTAATCATTCGCTCACAATGAGATTTTTGCGTAAGCAGCCCAATAATATAATTTCTGTGATTCGTGCGTTTCCGTTTAAACGGATAAACTTACATAAGTCGTAATTTTAAAATTGTAAAATAGGAAAATACGATGAATTGAATATGAATATTACGAGCAACGGTTTTCGATATTTATCTTGAAATTTATTACGATTTTGTGTTGAACGATTTAAAAAAACAAATCATTCATTTTTTTTTATTCAGAATTAATTGTACGTCCGACCAATCAAATTGGAAAATTTATTTATTCGAGAGTTTTTTTTTTTCAACGAGACGAGAATTTATGTTGAACCTGTTTTCCACGCCTGAATGCGATAAATATTATTCATAAATTAGAAGAATGGCGATTTAGTGTGTTTTAAGGCTGTCTTTTTTTTTTTTAGAAAAAGTATATAATTAATCATTCACGCGTGAAATTATATCCGTGCAGCTAACCTAATACAGTGTCCTGATTCGAATATCACGCGGCTCGAAAGGTTTCCAAGCAAACTGGAGCTCGAGAATTCGAACCTTGAGCGAGAAAGGCTAATTCCTCTCCGAGTTTCAATGAAGTACCTTGGAAAGTAGCAAGTTGCACTCGTGAAGCCTGTAATTTCTTCGAGAAAGGAAAGCGTAAAGAGTAATACTATGGAGGTCAAGTACCTAGAAAGACGAAATTATTATTAAAAAAAAATCTATAGAAATTATATTAATTATAAAAATGAAGTAATCGCGATTATTCATCTCTCTGTGATCCACGAATCACGTTGATTGAAGATTGAAGATTGAAGGTAATGTTTCTATTTCCGTATAAGCTTCCCTTCATTCACTAATTTACAGAATGATTCCATTCTCCGACAATGTTACAATGTTTATACAAAGATTACTATCTATAGACATTCGTGGTAATTTTCGAGAGTTGTCCTTCAGAGTACTTTTCATTAATTACGATAAAAGTGGAAGTTACTTTTACTCTTCACTTTCAACACTTGTCCACTCGCTGAAGAAACGTTATGGGCGTTAAACTTGTTAAAGCAGAATGAATTTTATATATTTAATTTTCGACGCTGCTTATAGAATAAACGTACGATCTTTATAATAAGCGACTTTATAATACACGATCGACAGAGTAAAATTACAAATTGCTAATGTCGAAGGTGAACTAATAAAGGATAATACACGATTATACACGGTATACGTACGTTTCTACGCATAGCTGCTTCCCTCTAATCCCTGCGAGCAACAGATTTATCAAATCACGGATATTTCCAGGAAGAATTTCAGCCTCCTTTCCACCGAATGATCAATAAAATAGCAGGTCGGCCCGTTTCATTATTTTTTCCCTCTAATCTGCTCGAAACCGCCCGCGGACTGCAAAGTTTCGCCCGTTCTCCACGATACTTTTCTTACGACACTCGTTCGTTCGACGCGAGTCATCGGGAACAAAGCTAAAAGTAGCAAGCGCAATCTATGTTCCTGTGTTTGATCGATAACAAATATCGATTGTAGATCTGTCCGAACGAATGGCGGAACTCTTGTAAAAGCTCGTATTTTCAACGATAAATATCGATATTGTGATTTATGACTCAATAGAAGTGATCGCGACCGACAAAAATCTGTGTGTATTATTCAA